AAGATCCCCAGGAAATGTTGAGGTGCTGATATAGCAAAAGCCAACATCTGAGCTGAGGCCAGCTGTGTTCAGGAGCAAGATGTGTGGTAGTGGTGTCCAGAGCTAAACAATGATTTGTTCATTATAGAAGCAAAGGTTGGGGGAATCCTCAGGTTTGGGAACCCAGGCCAAGCCCCACCCCCAGCCTCCTCTTTGACTCCCTAGCTTGCTCTGGCTACTGCAGTCCAGTCTCTCCCCTGCTCATGTTGGTTAACACAGTCTGGGCTCTCTGAGGGCTCTGACTCTGTCGAGGCTAGCTTCAACTCCCCCAAGCCTCTTCAGCCCAGCTTGGGCCCTCCCCAAGTTCTGTTCTCAGGCTCTGGGAGGACCAGTCCTAGTTCCAGTCCTCATGGAGAGAGGGAAAGTTCAGGAGGGCTTTACTAGGAGGTGGCAGAAGCTGAGGACAGATGGACCAGTTGGAGTTCACCAAAGGAGAGGAGAAGGGTATCCAGGCAGAAGGAATATGTGGGCAAAGGCAAGGAGGTAAGGTGTCAAATTTTGGGGAATTCAGAATGTGTCTGTCCAGTTTGGCCTGAGTGTTGGGTTCTGGGCAGGGGCGTGACATGGAAGTGTATCACAGCCCAGGGAGGAGGTAGGTAAGGGGTTTTTATCATATGTGTCTTTAGGAATAAAACATACCAGAAACTAGGACTGGCACTGGACTGGAAGGGAACAGGGAGGCCAGAAGGTCAGGAGACACCTGGGGCAAGTACTGGGTCAGAGTCAGCCCAAGGGCTAGAAGGTGGGCCCTGCCCCAGTGGCCTTTACTTAGACCTGAGAATTTTTCATCATCAAAATTTTGACAATAACTTCTCCACCCCCAGTAACAGATGAGCTAATATAAACTGCCTCATCCACAGAGTGGAATATTGTTTAGCAATAAATAACTGTCTACACAGGGTACGTAAAGGCATTATATATATTTTCTTAGATGGTGCTTGTTGAAAGTGTAAACTGAGGCAATCCTTAGAGACCAATTAGGCAACAGCTCTCAAAATTGCAAATACCCAGAGCCTTTGACAAAACAATCCCACTTGGAGGTACTCATTTGAATGAATCTGACCACCTGAGATTGGAAAGGACCTATATGCCCATCAATAGAGGGACATAGCCCAGCCGGTGTGGCTAAGTTGGTTAAGCATCACATGCACCAGGAGGTTGCTGGATCGATTCCCAGTCAGGGTACATGCAGGGTTTTGGGCTTGATCCCCAGTAGGGGATGTGCAGGGGGCAGCTGATCCATGTTTCTCTCATGGATGTTTCTATCTCCCTCTCCTTTCTTCTTTCTGAAATAAATAAAGATATATTTTAAAAAATAGGGGAGCCCGGCCAGGCATGGCTCAGCGGTTGAGCATCAACCTAGGATCCAGGCGATCGGGGTTTGATTCTCGGTCAGGGCACATACCCGGGTTGCAGGCTTGATCCCCAGTTGGGGGCATGCAGGAGGCAGCTGGTCAATGACTCTCTCATCATAGATGTTTCAACTCTCTCTCTCCCTCTCCCTTCCTCTCTCTGAAATCAATAAAAAACAGATTTTTTAAAAAAATAGGGGAACAAAAATGAGTGACAATATGGCCACCTAGTTGAATACTATACAGTGATGAAAAAGGACAGATTCAATGTGCTGATTCATTACAGTCTCAAATAGATTGGGGGGAATAAAGCAGGTGCAGAGGAATAAGGAACCTGTGCTACCTTTGTGCAGAGAAAACTGAAAGAGAATATTTACAGGTGTATTTGCTTGTGTGCTATATAATAACTCTAGAAAGATATATAATAAACTGGGAACAGGGAGATTGTGGGGAATAGAAAGGAGAGAGGAAGGGAGACCTTTCACCACCATCTTTTGAACGCTGCACCTATGGATGTTTTCCTTCCAAAGCCAGATTTTTCAAACTCCTTGAACTGTCTTGGTGAATTCAGTTGGGCTGTAAACCTCCATTCCTGGAGGGCTGGCACTGGGGCTTGAGTACCCTCCTCTGGTAACTGGCCTGGCACAGCCCTGTCCTGGTCCCTCCTTCTCTTGGCATTCAGCCCTCACTCGCCCTCTACACAGTTACTGGGCAGACCATCTACTCCCTACGCCTCGGGTTTGGCTGCTGGGCAGCTATGGGCACCCACTTGGAGGGCTTCCCCTTCCCCGACCCCCTTCCTCAGACCCCTTGGCCTTTACAGTGGGTTCCCCAGGGCTGCCTCGAGTGGGTGGGTGTGGGCTGTCCTCCCTGGGCCGCGGCTTAGCCGCCGGCGCCATACTTCTCTCCTCTGCCAGTGCCTGCCCTTACTTAAGCAATGCCAGAGCTGGGATGCTCCTGTCGCTCCCCGCCGGAGCTGAAAGGACACAGGTTCCTTAGGGCCAAAAGCCTGGGAAATGGGGGCAGAGCCGCTGAGAGAAACAGCGCTGATGGCCCCGCCTCCCAGTCCCCATTCAGCCCAGCCCTCCGCCTGCCTTCAGGGAGCCCTGGGGCTTGGGCATCCGACATGCCAGTGCCACTGTGTGCCTGGCCGCCAGACCCTGCCGCCCCGGCCCCACTACGGCCCCACTAGTGCCGCCAGAACCCGTGCGCTCCAAAGTGGGGAAGGGTCTACCCTTTCTGGGACCAGAGGGCGGCGAGGGAGCCTCTGGGGGCCCAGAGCTTTAGGTCCTCCACATCCACCTCTCAAGGGGTCCACCCTCCCTGCAACCCCTTCCCGTGTGCTCTAAGTTGGACCCGGCCGAGCACCAGGAGTTCCCTAGGGTCCCACGGCTGCCGAGGCGGAGGGCCCTGTGGAGTACCAGGGGCGTGGAGACTGTGCCAGAACTGAGTGCTGCCCCGATGGTACCTGGCTGTCCACCCCTGCCCCCACCCACCAAGGGCTAGCAGGGAGAGCACCCCAACAGGGAGTCCCCGGGTCTCAGTTCTCCCACTGGCTCTGCCCC